TGAGACACAGTCTCACAGTGTAGCCCTGGCCGGTCTAGAACTGGTCTCAAATGGATAAAGATCTGTCTGTCTCTTTCCCTTGAGTGCTGAAATTAAAGGTATGCATCACCTCACCCAGCTAGTAAGTCTTTTTTAGACTTCAGATGAATCAGCTCAAGATTTATAACATCTATTAAAATACAACATGAAAATTTTGCAATGAAGACAGTTGATAACGTTCTTAAATGCGTTATTGTCCTCTTTTCACATTTCATTATGCACAGGACAATATGTAAAGAGCTGTGGCCAATCAACAAGAAGCAAAAGCACATACCAAATGTTTACAATGTTCCAAGTCTGTACTACGCACTTCTGCATGCAGTCTCTTACTTCACTGTAATGCCTTTTCAGTTCTCTGGTGAGGTGCCTAGAAGGCAGGAATTATTTTTATCGTCTTTGTGGAGATGAAGAAGTGACACATGAAGATCAGCAGCTAAGTCTGGCTAAGTAAGAGTTTGACCCAGTAACTTTGTTTTCAGAGTGGGTCCTGGTGTTGTAAGAGATCCTGTGTAAGTAGTCCTGCTGGAACAGGGCTGGTGTGTTAGTCTATCTGAATCGGATTCCATCCCCCTTCTCCTGTTCTTCTGTGGTGGCAGATACAGCTAGTCCTCTTGGCTGCCCCAGTTTCACTGTCACCCCAGGGCTCAGGAATTTGAACAATTTACCAGGCTGCAGTGTATTCTGTCTAAGGGATACCGCCTTCATTTACCTTCCAATATCTCTACCATATTCTTTCACATACATCAATATAAGATGGAAGCTTATGACCAAATGCATCTTTGAAGGTGTCAGCAGATGCCAATCACAGACAATGAGTTATTGGAAGATTCTATTCATAGGCTATGGCTAAAATACACAAATCTATAGAGACAGAACAGTCTCTACCGGTGATCGCCCAGGACCAGGAGTCTGGGTGACATGAGGAATGATAGATAAGGACTATGGTGTTTGGTTTTGGTGTGATGAAATGTTCTGTAATCAATCATGATGTGGTTGTGCATCTACTTAAACATTCCCGAGTCATTGACTCGCACAGTTTAAATCAGTGATTGCATATTGAGAGTACCCCTCAATAAAGTTGTGGAGTCAGGAATTCATCAGGAATCATCAGGAGAAAGCAGCCAGTGCTGTGTTCTGTGTGCAAACAGAGAAGGGGCCAGCCTGGTCTAGCAGAGGAGGCTGTTTTGAGCCCAAACTCATGGGAGTTGAGTAAAGAAAGGCCCTAGACCAGTGATTCTCAACCTGTGGGTCACAAACCCCCAAAGATCATTGGAAAACTTAAAGTTTTCCGTTAGGATTCATAGCAGTAGAAATTTACAGTTATGAAGTAGCCAGGAAAATAATTTATAGATGGGGGTCACCGCAATATGGAGAACTGTATTAAGTGGTTGCAGCATTAGGGAGGTTGAGAACCACTCATGAGAGAGTTGAGCCAGATATGGGTGTTGGAGGTGGGGAATAGGAGCTGGTGAAAACTTGGAGAAATGAAAACACAGGCCTTCATCTGCATGCTGGGAAGGTCCATCATGTGTGAAAGGACCAAGAAGAAAAAGACTGAAAATCAAGTAGACACTGGCGATACTACTCATTCCTCTTTGGGCCTTAGTTCTGTGTTGTAAAGAGATGAGGTGAATCGTTTTCAAGTATGGCTTTTAGAATCTCCTGGAACTTATCCCACAGATAACTGTCCTTGGTGCTTTTGGTATCAGGATTTGCTTATTTGGTTTTCATTTTTAGAATAACCGATGCCTATGGCTATTTTAGAATCTGATCTACCTACGTAACAAGCGTTTCCTGCCCATTCAGGCATCACAGTGTCTTCTTAGGTGCTGTCATTTGGGGGCCCCAGCAGCAGCCATTGCTGTCTTCTTAGCCTCTTCTGCTTCACTGGCAGCCATGTAAGCTTGGTCTCATGGTACTTTTCTAACTTACAGTTTTTGTTTTCTCTTGGCTGTTTTCTCAGCAAGAGATGCTTCAGTGAAGAGATGCTTCAGTGAAGAGATGCTTCAGTGGTCCACTGAGGTTTGAGCACATTGGGTTCTTTTGCATTTCTTTCACCTGCTGCCTCTCTCTCTCTCTCTCTCTCTCTCTCTCTCTCTCTCTCTCTCTCTCTCTCTCCTT